AGTAATTGCAAAGACTGTCAAGATCACTCGGGAGCAAAGCAGCACCCTGGGGAGATGTGACTTTTCTAAAGTTCTTAGAATATATATAGAGAAGATATTAGAATATTTAAGAACTAAAACAACATTATTAATGAACAAATTAAAAAAGAAAGGACCGAGATGGGATCCCTGTGGCACACCTGATGTAACCGGGACAAAAGTTGAACAGTGCCCCTTTACAGTAACTGCCTGACTACGGTCTCTGAGGTAAGATTCTGTCCACCGTATCATTATGGAAGTATCTTATACGGACCTAAGTGATACTAACCAAAAAAGCTATTTTTTCAGTAGAAGCATTTAAAGTTTTACCAAACAGTAATTACGACTTTTACAATCGTGTTTAGTGCTCTCTGCAATAGAAATCATAACATGATATTGATTTTTTATTCTTTCTGGTGCAAAAGTCGTAATTACTGTTTGGTAAAACTTTAAATGATTCTACTGAAAAAATAGCTTTTCAGTTGGTGGTTTGCAATGCGCCTTCTCACAAGAGACGGAGTAATGAGTCTCTAAGTTTGCAACTTTTCTTTGCGAAACTAGAAATAGTGCTGGCGGTTCTGTTAAAAAAAATATTTAAGCATTTAACTGCTGGATGATTCAATCTTAAGAAAAAAATTAAATCAGCCCGGATAGCGGAGGATGCGTGTTCGAATCCCGTCAGAAATTTGGATCGAGTGGATTTGTTTCTAGTCAAATTTTCTTAAGTTTTATTGTTAGTTTGTTGTTGTATTTTATTATTATAAGTTATTGTATCCGTACCATTTTTGGTATTTTGGTGTCATTTACCTTTACACACTTCCGACCTCCACTAAGAAGACTTATCTTCAGCTTTCCTGTGATATTTGATATCAATTCCGGGGCGGTTCAGGGTAGTTATATTTTTCTACATTTTGTTCATATTTTCCCGAAAGCAGCTTGGCCACTCTACACGATATACTTGCCCTTAATACAACGTTAAGCAAAGTGCTCAGAAATGATCGACAATTACGTGGCTTGAATCATAAATATATGTTTTTTCACTGATTTTTGTGTTAAAATAGTATGATATTGTTGAACTGCATGTAAAGAGATTTCAATAAGTGCTTAGTATCTCTTTGTTAATTAAGTTTATTTACATAAAACAACTCCGAATACTCCAGAATTTTTCAAATTCACTAAACATATTATAGGTTTATGTTTGGAAAGGTTGGTAAGAAGGCTACTGATCCGCTAGCTCAGTGGTTCTCAAACTTTTTAAATGACGGAACCCTTTTGGGAAGCAAAATACTTGATGGAACCCTACAATAAAACAATTATTTTTATAAGTGTATTCTATATTAATCAGCTTAATAAAAGTACAATGTATCCGTTACTAATTATTATTTACTTCACCACTTGGTAAGGACAATAATAGAAAACATTAAAAAAGAAAAAATCTAACTAGTGGGAGGTATGAAACTGTTTTTTATTTTTCATCAATTGCTTGATATCAGGTTTGATGGAAGAAAGTTGGAGTCTCATATCAGCTTCGGCGTCCAGTCTATTGCGATATTTTGTTTTCGTGGCTGCGTAGGTAGAGAATCCTGTTTCGCACAAATATGTAGTTGGGAACGGGAGAAGAATATCCAGAGCCATTTGGCCAAGCATTGCATATTCATCTTGGATTCTGCACCAAAAATCATTAAGAGGCGTCGTTTTGAACAATGACTCCATACTTGTGTCTGATGACATTTCTAAAAGAGATTCATATATCTCATTTGACATGTTTTCAGGCTTTTCCAAGTTGGGTAAAAAAGGATTATGAATCCAGGAGTTCACTTTAATTTTTGTATTGTGTTCTTCGGGAAAATACTTTTCAAAAGATGCGCGCATCGAACTGAGATATTGGACCAATTCTTCAAACACATTATCTTCAAACATTTCTGAGTCGTTTTCGCTAACAAACTCAGTGAGTAACGTAAAACTTTCTATTTCTTTCTTACCAATGCAAATGATCCAAAAATCTAATTTTCTTTTAAAAGTAGTTATTTTATTATAGGCCTGAAACACTGTTGTCTGTTTACCTTGCAATGATAAATTTAATTCGTTAAGTTTTTGAAAGATATCCGCCATAAAAGACAATCGGAACAACCAAGTTTTATCATACAAACGGTCCTTCAAATTAAAAGAAGTATCTGCTGAAAGAAACATTTGTAACTCGGCTCTAAGTTCAAATAGCCTTGTTAAAGTTTTTCCCCGAGACAGCCATCGCACTTCTGTATGGAGCAGCAGTGTTTTATGTTTGCTGCCATAATCTTCACACAATAATGAGAACAATCGGGATTGTAGTGGTCGTGATTTGATAAAATTAATTATTTTTACCGCTTCATCCATAACTAATTTTAGATTAGACGGCATTTGCTTCATCGCAAGTGCTTGTCTATGCAGAATACAATGACTGGAACTACAATTAGGCGCTTTATTTTTCATTCGTGACACTGCTCCTGCTGTTTTACCTGTCATCGCCTTGGCCCCATCTGTACAAATGTCAATGCAATTGTTCCAACTGAGATTATGTTCTTCAAAAAATATATTTATTTTATTAAAAATTTCTTCCCCGGTAGTGTTTGTAAGCAGCGATGAACACATAAGCATGTCTTCTTCAAAAGAACTTTTATATGGATATCTCACAATAACCAGCAGGATAGCCAAACCAGCGACATCAGTCGACTCGTCCATTTGCAAAGCGAATCGTGTATTTTGTAGACGTGTAACTAGTTCTTGTTTGACGTAGCTTGCCAGATCATGGATTCGTCGTGAAACAGTATCGTTTGATAGCGGAACAGTAGAAAGATGCTTTGCAGATTTTTCATCAAGCATACATTTTGTTATGTCTAATACACATGGTTTTATTAATTTCTCAGCGATAGTGTGCGCTTCACCTGCTTGTGCAATGCGATAGCTAACTAAGTATGATGCCTCCGTGGCCTTTTCGTTGGTAGTTTGTGTTACATGCATCATATTTTTTTGACTTTCTAATAACTGATCTTTTTTGCGAACAAAAAATTCTTTATTCTTGTCTTTAGTCTCGGGGTGTACGGTTTCTAAATGTCGACGCAATTTGGCAGGTGCCATGGAACTATTAGGAAGCAGTTTACTACAGAGCATGCAGAGAGGTGAGCCGTTGGAATCAACAAATCCGAAACTGATATAAGATTCATCATACTTCCTTTTTTTCGTCTTTGAAACCGTCGAGCTTGACGTCGTGGCACTCGTGGCATCATCTTCTGGATCGGTGATTGCTAAATTCTCCGCGCGCATTGCTTTTGAACATTCAGCGTCATTAGAAGATGTTGTTGGAACACGTTTAACACCTTTAAGCCAACGTTCCATTCTTCTTTATTTATAATGTTACAAGTCAGGATAGTGGGGTTTAAATAATGCACAATCGTTACTGCGTATAAGAGACTAAATTTAGAACCTACAGGGAAGAAATGTATAAAACTGAGACAACAGAATACAGCAGGCAGTAAAACAATGAACACCAGTTTCTCGCTAGCGAGCTTGTAAGTAGGTAGTAACTTATCGCTCCGAACGCTAATCATCAACTGACGACGCCAACGCGCGATCGCCGCTTTTATACTTAGTCCTAGACTCGATCTCAAATATTCTCGAAAATACTCGAGTCGGCACCTTTGATAAACAAAAAGCAAAAATAAAAACAGAAATTTAAAAATAGCGTTGTAAACAATATCGACTTTATCCTTTGAAGTTAGAGACGAAAGTCGCTAGTTGACAACTATAGCGTCTAATTCAGAGGCGGCTTTTATCAAAGAGACTGAGCGCTTACAAGTATACTACCCGCTCGTTTTAAGTTTGCCGCTGGCGATAGGTATGAGTGTATGACGTTCGAAATTTTTTATTTAATTGTAACAATAAAAATTGTGTACGTTAGATATTTGGGTAAAACTATGACACATTATAAGTTTTGTTGTCACGTGGGGGAGGGTACGCGCATTCCACAGACCGGCAAACTTAGAGCGAACGCGTTGTACAAGTATAAAATTGTTGAGACCAAACTTATGAGATATTGTACCAGCTAATGTAACACAAGCTTATACAAATACAAATAAATAAATAAATAACATTCATAGCGTTTTGTCTCCGCGCGGCCGCGGAGTCCGCACAGCCGCGGAGCGACCAGAGAGAGGTGTTTTGATTTTTTTATTTCTAAATTCTTGCGGAACCCCGACAGAGGTATCACGGAACCCTAGGGTTCCGCGGAACACACTTAGAGTATAGCTGCGCTAGCTAATTAACATAGAAGTGTTACAACACATTAGATGGAATAGACAAATTTAATCTTTAAACAAAACGTTGGTTTTCGCGGTTTCTCTATTAGCAAACCTAAACAAAGTAAAGTAATAAAGTAAAAAAAAAAATGCTGTACAAAATTGTGTTAAAAGCGAAAAAGGCGAAGGAATCGTGTACTTAATGAGTATAAGGGTCCCCTGGGGCCGATGCGATTGTTGTTTTTTTCAGTCGTTGACAGGTGGAAGGCAGGTTCGCGCGGCGCGGGGCGGGGGCTGAGGCAGCCGGCGCGGCGCCCGCGCAACTCGCGTGCTCCTCTCGCCTGAGTCACGCGCGCCTCGTAATGCTTGCATAATAATAATGACGGATGCCGATCGCGTGGCGGCGCCTTTGATCTGCGGCGCGTTTGATCTCGCCGCCGGAGCCGGTCCCGTCGCCTGCCGCACAAACGAGCCGCCGGCTCACCTTTATTCGGTTGGACGCCGCGCGGCAAGCCGGCCCTTCGAGCTTCGCCCTCGTTCTAAATAGAGGCTTTATTTTGTAAATAGCGGGAGCGCTACTGTGCGGATACGTATTGCCGGGCGGCGTGCTAGTTGTGCCGCAGTCAGTATGGGGTGCGCTTCTGCTGACTGCCTGCGCCCGCGACGCTCCCGTGCCCACAGTGCCTTCTTCTCCGCCCACCGCTGGGAGTGATGAAGGCGGCCTTCTGGACCTGGATCGCTTGGACGTTTTGTGTACGCATTGTTTTTGTGAACTTTTTCTTTTGTTTCATGCATTATTTCTTTACTTCTGTGATTTATGTTTAAGCTCACAAGTGAATTTTCCCGGTAAAAGAAATGTTTGAAGATATCTAAAATTAGTTGACAATTAACGTTGATTTTTTATACTTATCTTTCGGAAAACGTCTGAAAATCTACGAAATAGGTATTTTATTTTGAATTAGCTTGAAAAATAAAACAGGATTTCTCGAAAAATCCTTTATTTCCGTGTCACTTCTCAACGCAATCATTTGGAAGTTGAAGTAATAAAACTATAACTTTTTATAGGTTCTGTAACTTTATACGAGGCGGGAGTAATTTTCTGATACAAATCTCTACAGGATATTATGAGTAGGTGCGCAATTACTATGTTACAGTTACGCTAAACGTACTAGTATTGTTAATTAATTACGAGTGACTTAACGCAAACATGAAAATGCCTTTGTACTTCTTTTACTTAATTGAAGTTACCAACCGATATTTTAATTTAAACACTGAACGTAAGTATTTGGATACTACAAATAAAATAATATTAAATAATAAGTAATGAAATTAAATGAAATGAAATTATACTTTATTCAAATTGACTTATCAAAATCAGTCAGTCAAAATTGACTTATTAAAGTTCTTTTGAATCGTCCAATATTTTTTCCCTACCACCATTCAGGGCATTTTTTAGCTGATAAGAATAATGGGTCCATGAAACTTATCAGCATTAACAGAAGTAGCAACATTTACATAAAATCATATCGCTACCAATACAATTAATAAGATACATTAATTATATGTTACATAGTTATTGTGAATTTAATGAGAAGACTTTGCTTACTTCAATGAGAGAAGGGTTCTTTACTCTCAGATACTTCTATCATAATCTTGTAATCTTGTACTCGATAATATTCTTTGCTCATCAGAGTATTTTTCACATGATTTTTTACTTATAAAGAGGTAGATTAACAATACTGTGAGGTAACTTATTATAAAAAGCTTTACATTTCGCTAAAAATAAGTTTCGTGTTTTTTGTAATGTAAAAGTTGGAACAGTAAGCTTATTTTTATTTTGGTAACTAAAGGTAACTAATGAATATAGACAGTTAATGTACAACTTATCAATATGAGAGTTTAACTAAGTGTTGTACACTTTTTTCTCTTATTAGCGCTTAAATAAAATTCATCTTAATTTCGTTCTAATCAATCTGTAGAATCTTATTTTCATATAAATTTTCCACCCATATTTCAGTCCGATTATGATTCGAGCAATGTCCTTCTGCTAGGTCGTTTTTATTTCCATACCAAAATTCATCAAAATCGGTTGAGCGGTGAAGTGAAGGTTACTAGGCAACTGATTAATAGACGGACAGATTTACTTTCAACAGATAATGTGTATTGTCTTTTTGTAGAATGCCTTACTTAACTTTTTGGTTGAGAAAATAGTGTATGATTATTGGTTAGAAAAGTTACAGTTTTCATAAAAAAATATTTGATAACTTTTAACCATCTCAAGAGAGGTAGGAAAGCGGAAAATCCGCTATACCCTACCTCTCTAAATATAAACCCCTCCTTACGTGTTTCTGTCAGTGAGTAAGTTTCCAGGGCTCCACGGGGTAGGATATTGAGTCAGGGTTGTCCACGGCGCGAGTTTTATATTTGGTATAGCAAGCTATACTATGGTGACAGCTTACCATCAGGCGGGCCATGCGCTTGTTTGCCACCCTTTTAATACAAAAACTTGACGACCTCCTTGGCCGAGTGGTTTGTACGCCGGGTTTCATGGTGTCGCCGACTCGAGAGGTCCCGGGTTCGAATCCCAGTGGGGGCAGATGTTTGTGTGATTAATACGAGCATTTGTACTCCAGTCATGGATGTTTAATATGTAATTCTATATAAATATACTTATATATGTACAGTACATGTATTCTATCCGTTACCCTAGTATCCCATAACACAAGCCTTATAGTGCTTACTTTGGGGCTAGGCTAATTGGTGTGAGTGTTGGCAATATTTATATTTTTTTATTTAAAAGAGAACATCTCGAAAAGAATGAGATTATTCCGAACAATCAAAGTATTTCGGAAGGCATGAGTCGTAAGTACCCATCAATCCGCCTTGAGCTCGCGTATTCTGTGCCTATTTCGTCCACAACTAAGGCTTGCGCCTTGAGCCCATAGAAATAAAGTGCTTGCGTCCCAGTAGCGGGGAGGGTGATGTTGATAATGATTATGGCCGTGACTTTCTGTTAGGAATATCTTAAATAATGCCCATAGTCAATACACAAGGAATAGTTTGTTTTGTACAATGATTTGATCAGGAACAGATATACATAAGCCAAACTTTCCTTAATTGAACCTTAAGCACCCTGATAAGGTTGCAAAAATTTTGTTACATAAACTTTATTGAAAACCACTTGGTGAGAATTTCGTCAAAGACATTTAATATGTCAACTTTGCATCGACTTACAACACTGTATTTCTACTGGAGTGGGCCACTTCTGTCTGATCTGTAGCTTTTCAGTTGAAAATAGAAAGGAAATTGTGCAGTTTCTATTTGCGAAAGTGATATCTGTTGCACGCCATAAGATTTATAGCTTGCTTGTGGTTCTTCCTACGTATGGTACTCACATTTTAACGTAGAAGCTTCTAAAATAATAACTTATATTCGTGAAATGTTTTAAAATAACACCTATTTATATAAATAATTCACCGAAATGTATCTACGTGTATAACTTCCAAACGATTGCACCAAATTCGATAATTACTTCTTTTTTGTGTTCGTTTTTGTCAAGACAAGGTTTTTAAAATACTTTATTTTTAAAATCTCATAGGTAATATAATAAAGTTTGTGAGTGAATGAGACAGAAGACCATGTGAGTTCTTTTTTAATTTGACAAAACATTTTATACATTCTAATATACATATTTACGAAAAAAATAATATGACGGTACAACATTGGCCAGGTCAGCTAGTTTTTTAATAAAATTTCTTTTTAATTTTACGCTATATTGTAATTCGCTTATTCCACCAGTAAACAGGTAAGTTTTACATTACTTACACTGTAGAGATGCTCACCAGTCAAAATTGGTAAATTAACTTAAGTGGACCTATTTATGTATTATAAATTGCACCTGTCTTACATTTTAATACTCATGACTCTAAATGTTAATGAGTAAAAATTTAATTCTTATTCAGTTTCCTTTTATTTATATAAAAGCAAACTCGGAGTCAACATATTTTGCGGTACCTTGATGACCTGCAAGCATTTCTATGTTTAGTTTAGGCGTCAGTCTCTCAGAAAGTTCTACATAGTTACTGTTAAACTAGAATTTCATAATACAATAATTGTTCAAAATGTATTAGTAAACGGCGCGGAAATAAATAAAAATAAATAAATAATTCTATAAAGTGCACTTGTATACATTTTACATTGATGAAGTTATTCTTGTTTTAAGAGCGGACGCGAGCTGAGAGATATTTGAAAAATCGGAAATCGATATTTGAAAAAACAATTTTGTCGCGCAGTGGCAAATACCGTGCGATAGGGACAACAGTAGCTAATGCTGAAAATTGTGTATAAAAATTGCAGAATTCGAGGTTTGGCTCTCGACAATTTCCTCCTCGAAAATTATATATATGTAAAATAATTTTTTATCACAGAATAATAAGTAGTTATACTAGGCCTCTATGTTTTACTTTTTTCTTAATACTTAATGAATTTTCACAGTAGATGTCTTTAGTGATGATAACAATTTGTGTATTTTTGGCATTTTTGAGGGATTCAAGTTGCAGAGCAACTCGATTTTTTGATAACTCACAGAAGTTATCGAAAAAAGGAAGGCATAGGAGCATAGAACGAGAAAAAAAATATTTTATGTATGTATCCTTTCTTTACCGATAAAAATCATTTGTATGGAATAAACATTGCCCGCCCGTTAAAAATATTTATTGTTTACCACTGAAATACCGTCAGTAAGTAACTAAAAAACCCATACATTAAAATTGTTTTGGTCGACTATGATTGATAAAATTAAGCCCTAACAAAATTTTTTCATTTTCATTTCTGTATAATAATTACTTATTTGCTAGCTAAGATACCCAAAGTTATATAAGTATTTAGAATATGTCCAAGTTCGCATAGGAACTTTATCTATTAAGAGACCTCGTAAACTTCTTACCGGAATGATAGTGTCCATTTAAAATAGGTACGTATTCATAGGTATACACCAAAACTTCTTCGTCCTGAAGAAGTTCCCATACTAAATTCTGTTAAAATTTTATTTACGCAGCATAGATATATGCTCTTCGCCATAGGACAACCCAATAAAATGAGTATAGTTAATAGGATAGATTTCGATTAAAAATTGCTATTCTTACGTTGTAAATATTGCAAAATCAAATCCTGATTAGGTTTCAAATTACATTAAAAGGAAGACGGGACGGCTTTTCCGACGATGATACGCAATCAAAGTGCCGTTAAATTGTTAATAGCGATTTGTAAATGTCGCCACGTCTGGACACGGCAATTTACAAACAACCCGACAGACGTTCCGGATAATTACGACCTTCCTATCCGTTTAATTTGTAAAGCTTTGAGAAGGAGGCTTTGCGTCTTTTTTATTGATTTGTTTTTGTTTTACGAACCTCATGTCTTCATCTTGAATAATTGTAATTAGTGAAAGTAGAGTTAAATTATTAACGCTGTGATAAAAAGAAAAACATAAGTTTGTCTGTCTGCGGTCTGGTATGAAATGTGAAATGGGTCTATGGCCGCTTTGACAAATTATAAATTTTAAATAAAATTATATTTTAAAGGGGATATAAGGAAGTTATTTTCTTATTTTTGTTCGAATTTTTGTTTTGTGCTTGAATACGAGTGCCCGTGGGTAAGGGTGACCCTCATCTTACAGAAAACCTGCAAAATCACAACAACCTATGTGTTCTGGTGGCGTTTGTTTTTATCGATGGTTTAGATATCAGGGCTCCACGGAGTTAGGAATATATGGGTAGGCACTGTCTATATTTTGCATAAAATACTTAGATACTCCAACGCCATCGTTTCCTCTGCGGGTTGTAGTTAGAAGTGTAAAGTTATGAGACAGCTTAATGAAATATTTGGTTATAAATTTCCATAGCCACTTTTTAATTTACGATAAATAGCCAGCTCTTTTTTGTTGTTTTTTTCAAACGTTCAAAATCTGTTTTTTGTAGACATGCACCATTTCTGACACCTTTAATTTATATTCTCTTGTTTCTATAAATTGTAATGGACGGTATTATAATACATATATACAAAATTAAATTACAACAACTGAAAAACTATTTAATGTATAAAATTTTAATTCAACTGGTGATCAAAAGGCTAGCAGCTATCTTGGTCAACGGATTAGCCTTGCTATTCAACGTGGCAATGCTGCCAGCCTATTGGGCACCATTCCTGACGACGGCGCTGGGGGCAACGATATTAAATACCCTAGATACACCAACACGAACAAAATCGTGCCCGAAACCTGTCCAAAAGGTACATTTAACGATCCACGGAGCTCCGTAAGATGATCGCGTCAAAATCAATATAAGGCATTATTAGAAATATTGAAAGTAACCTTTAATACATACTGTGTAAGGTCTTAAATAAAACTCATGCGTCAAGGATTTCTGACAGTTCGAAATGTAAGCTCGTAAAATTTTACGACTTATTGCTATATGCGGAAGAATTTAGACCTTAGTTCTTTGACTCTACTCGCAATTCTGAACGCGCTCTTAGTAATATAGCAAATCAAAGTATTAGATCAAAATTTGCTTCAAATGTGTTAAACAAACAAACATTGACAAGATACCCGTCGAATTTTCGTACTCTAAGTATTGTTTTCGCATTTTTTTGCGGAGCTCTATGGCATCTTGACCTTGTAACAGTCCGCGCGTGACAGTGAACCAAGAAGTGCTTGTGCGGAGTTCAAGCACTTCTTCATTGGGACACATTTTGAGCGCTCGTGGTGTATCTATGGTATTTAATATCGTTGGCTGGGGGTGACATTTTTCATTTTGTAAATTAGATATTAATCTTGTTACTTAAACAACACCTTTAAGTTGAGTTACAAAAAGAATAAGTTTAAATTATTCAAAAGTATAATATAATACTTTTTAACGTTCTTGAATTTTTGGCTCATTTTAAAGACCTCTGAAAATCATCGGAGTATGAAAACGACTCCAAATGACCAGTTTAAAAGTAGTTTTATAAGTCTCAGGTATGGTTCATATATATTCTATGTCTACTGCTGGACGTAGGTCTCCCCTAATGCACGCCACTGCTCCCGATTTTCTGCCACTCTCATCCAGCCCACTCCAGCCAGCCTACGAAACGAATATCATCATCCCATATTGTCTCAGGGCGTCCTACACTACGATTACCGATACGTTTTACATCAGTGGACGAGCTGGGGTTGATGATGATGATATTCTATGTATTGTTTTGTTGGTTTTCCACAGGCTGTACTGACGACGGTGAGTGGGAATGTGTCCCAGCCTGACAGCTTGAAGCTGGTGTGGCTCGCGAACAGCTCACTCGCCTGCAACGACGGCACTCCTGCTGGGTAAGTTACCACTATGTATACCACCACCAACCACTTAGTTAACCACTACTTACTACTAAGTTTAAGAGAGACAGGGTATAGCGGACTTTCAGCTCGAATTGAAACGCCCATCTGGGGAAGTAACCTCTACCTTACAAAGGATCAGAGTCAAAGATACTACCTTTTGATGCGGTTGTGTTTCTGTCGGTGAAGGTTTCAGGGCTCCACCACGTAGGGGATTGGGTCAGGGTAGGCAACAGTACGATATTCTTGGTATCGCAAGCGTCTATAGGCTAATGGTGGCTGTTTGTCATTAGGCGGACAATAGGTTTGTTTGTTACCCTTTTAACATACCTCTGCTGCAATGTCAGTTTTAAAGTTTTTTTTCCATCCTCAACTAGTAACAAAGTTGTTCCCGCTGCCTGTACACTTAGATCTTTTCAACTACGCAACGAATTTTAATGCAGTTTGAAGCAATAAAAGGACATCGACGAAATCGGCCCTAGCATGCCCAGAAGAATGTCCTTCACTATTATTTTTCTATTATTTTTTTAAGTTATTAGCAATTAATCATAGTAAACGGACAATCTGTTTAAAAAATAAAAGTTCTGTTACTAGATACTACAGTTTGTTCATCCAACTTGGCACTCCTTTTTATTGAAAATACAGCATTAAAAATAAACTGATATTTGGATTCAATAGGTTTCAGTCTATAATAACGATTTATTTTAATAGTTTGTTTTCTTCGTTAATATTTTATTATTAAATGGGTGATTCTGTTAAAAAGTTGTGCCAAGATTGTTTACCTTAGTAATGCAATATAGGCGACCATAGGTATTTATCAACATAAAAATAGAACTAGGTACCTTAGTTAATAATACTTATTACTAGTATTTATATTATATTAATAAAAAGATTATTTCTGAAATTATCTAAAGATAGTTTATACTCCCATCCCATGTAATATCTGTTTATTTTTATGAAAATCATAATGATAACCAGGTACATACCTAATTACCGTTAGTAAAATATAGAAACAGGTAAATGGAAAGACTGAACATTTCATTCGAAAAGAAATCTATCATTACTTACTACAGGTAAAATCAATATGAAAATAAGCATTTATTATTTTTATTATAAATTGCATTTTATGTTCATTTAATGCATATTATTTAAGTGCTTACATAGGGGTAAACACTAAATTTATTCAGAATATATAAAGTGTACATCTTTTATGATTAAGTATAATAATTATAACCTCAAAATCTAATACATTCTGTAGTAGGCCACGGTTCCTCAAGTTGTCCATATCTCAACAAATGCTTATTTAGAGTTTATGAATGATTCCGAACACAACTAGCATTTTCTCATTGCTGGGCGTTCTAGGGCATTTAATGTATGGGGAACGAGCAATGTCCTTTAAGAGGAATCAAAAACTATAGCGAAGCGAAGCGAGAGGGTGTAACTAGTTATAAATAAACTGCGGTCCACTTGCAGAAAAGTTCTTTAATTAAGTAGATTAAAAAAAAACTGTTTCTCATTTGAATTCAACTAGTTGACAAGGATGAAGTTTAGTCATGTGCTAAACTGGATTTAGGTACCCTAAAATTGAATTAGTACCGCTTGCAGGGAATTTGCTAAATCTCGATTAAACTAAAACTAGACATATCTTATAGAAAAATGACAAAACGTTAATTACAATTTGATATTATTGTATTGTTAAATCTGGTTTTAGTTAAATTGAGATTTAGCTTTGGTGCAAGCGAGCCTAAAACCAGTTTAGCACATGACCAAACTTCATCCTTGTCAACTATTTAATTCATATGAGAAACAGTAATTTGTTTTTATTTAATCTAATTTAAGAACTTAAGTAGACCTCAGTTTATTAATAACTAGTTACACGCTCTCGTTTCGCTGAGGCAGTGGGCTTTTAATATGGTGGGCAAGTGGGCTTTACCCATCCGACCGAAGCTGCGCCGAAAGTCCAATAATATGATATCCGACGTATGATGTTAATTAGCGATTAAAATCTCTGTTTTAAGTAGGTAAACAGAAAAGGGCTATAAACGTAGTAAAGTCAGGTCTTACCTGTATCGGAGTTGTTGTAATTGTAAATCATTTATTTTATTTTGTAGATACTATGTAAGAATCCAGTTTTGAAGAATAATTATTATTTATAATATTCCGAGTTTGTTTTGTATGTCACATGTGTAATATTCGATTTAGATTGCCTAAAATCCAATGTTGTTACGTACCTAGTGTACGCAAGCTTCCTAGTATTGCTTGTTCAAAAGGGCACTCACCCTTTCGTCCTACTTACAACAAGATGCAAGAAGTAAATGCATTGAATAAACATCAGTACTGAAGGAGTATATTATGATCATATGCATGTCCAATAATATACCTATTTCCAATGGGGCCTATTGGAAAGTATTTTATATGCTGATATAGATACATAAACAAGGAAGTTGTTCAAATACTTGGCTTTGAAACGATATAATATAAACCACATTTGCGAAAATAATTATCCTTAGCAAAAATTTGTTAGAATAATTTTTGATGTGGTTTTAACTATTGTTATTACTAAAAAAACACTCGGTCCAATAACGGCACAAGGTAGGATTCCACTTGACCCTGTCTGATGCCTGGACCCAGGGGTTTTTTCTAGTTAAATTTCCCTAAGTTTTATAAACCAAGCAGTTTATGCTTACAATCTTATATATACAATTTTTTTATCACAGTGTTTGTAACAAAAGAAACCGACAAAAAAACGGATGATTTACTTTGTAAAGAGTAGTCCAATTTTGATAATTATTTTTTTATTGGAAAGGGTTATACTCACCAAAGTTGCTTTCATATAAATTTAAAAAAAAAACTTTTTTTAGGGTAGCCCCCCTACATGTAAAATGGGGGTGAATTATTTTTTCATCTTCTACCCCATCGTGTGGGGTATCGTTGTATAGGTCCTTTAAAACTATTTAGGGGTTGATAAGACTATTTTTAGACCTAGGAAATGGTTTGTGAAATATTAAACATTAAAGTGCAAATTTTTGTTCGAATAGCCCCCTGCCACTCTAAAAGCTAAACTATTGGCATGAAAAGTCTGAAAAAAAAATCTTGGTAATGGTGCTTTTCATAATATGTTAAAGAAAATTATGACGGTTAAGATTGATCAGTTAGTTTAAGAGTCGTTCAACTTACCGCTTTTCAGTTTTTTCGGCGTATAAATTTTTATGCTTAAAAGATTTTTCTAGTAAACTTTTCTGCAGATCAAAAGTTGTATTGCCTGAATGAGATATTTGGGAATGATAAACCAATACTGTAACCAAATATTATGTTTGATAAATACTCACACCCGAGGCGCTATAGATAAGTTAATTTCAGACACAGAGAATCTAGCTGGCGAGATTTCAGAGACGTTAAGCCCTAACGTTAGCGTAAAAAATGTGTCTTGTATTCGCGCACATCAAACATGAGTTTCAATGTAGTATTTTTATTATGAAAAAAACTTTATTTCAGGTACTACATTCGTCGGGGCAGCAACACTGGTCATTGGGTAGTGTACCTCGAGGGTGGCGGATACTGCTGGGATACGGCTTCATGCAGTGCAAGATGGCATCGAAGACCCGCGCTCATGTCTTCCTCACGCTGGCCTCGCACTCGCCGCGCCCCAGCACTTCTCTCCGCTGATCCTGTTGCCAATCCACTTTGGCATGATTCCACACACGTGCTCCTACCATATTGCTCCAGTGATATGTGGGCTGGCACACGCATCCGACGCAACGCATCCTTCGTATTTGCTGGTCGTCTCATCGTGAGGACAGTTCTTCTTGACTTACTCCGTCTAGGACTTTCCAGCCGTCTTCTACTAGTCGGTTCGAGCGCAGGCGGCACAGGAGTAATGCTCCACGCTGATTCAGCAAGACGTCTATTACGTCATCACGGCGTTCGGGTTGCAGTTTTATCGGATTCTGGCTGGTTTTTGGACAGACCGGCCCGCGCTCGGCGAGTCCCTGCCGAAACTGTTGCAAAATTAGGACACGCATTCTGGCGAGGCGCTCCACCGAGTTCTTGCGTACGAAAGTATCCTTCGAAGCCATGGATGTGCTACTTCGGTTACCATCTCTACCCGCACATAAAAACACCGTTGTTTGTATTCCAATATTTGTTCGATTCAGCGCAATTGGCAGCCGAAGGAGTGCGCGCCCCGAGGACGCGAGCTCAGTGGAATGCAGTGCACGAAACAGGTGCAGCACTTCGTGCCAGCTTGAAAGGAGTACGGGCGACATTTGCCCCAGCTTGTTTAGCACATGGTGCGCTCGCTCGACCGGAATGGCTTGCTATAAATGTGTCAGGGGTGTCCCTCCCCCGGGCCATTAGTTGTTGGGAGCGTCGTCTTGGAGGAACTATGAGACAAGAAAAAGGAGGATGCGCGCCGCGTAGACTTATTGAGAGGTGTTCCTGGCCACAATGTAATGGCTCATGTCCTCGATTACGTGATCCGAGAACGGGTGAAGAAGTTGCTTTGGCGACTTTATTACAGAGCTTCGGCCTCGACGTTAACGGTGCGGCCGCTGCTATGGGACTGGATGCGCGTGCCCTGTCTAGGATGAGTCGTGCGGAACTACTGCCTCTGTTAGCTCCACATACGTGATAACCAGTCGTACTTTTTTGTGTCTTTATGACATCGTGAATCTACCTCGTTTTTTGTTGCGCAAGTACAATTATTTTTTAGATTATTTATTGTTTACCAATACATCGTATGTAATTTATGTTAAGTGATAAGTAAAGTATTAAACTAAGGTTCAGCTTTTCATTTTATTTATTGTCTTGTGATTGACTGAAACACGATATTATTTGGCACAACAATAACTTTATTTACATACAAAACTTTGTTTCTTAAGAGATACGGTGGACTAGTTCAAACGTCTACAACATAAAATACTTAAAAATATCTCACTATAGATCGCTCTGCGTTATTGTAATGTGGCAGTGACGCAGCGGATACATCTGATCAGGAAGCGACTAAATAAATTGGTTTGGTAAGTAGAGCCGTGGGGGGAGCCATGGAGAGCGGCGCGGGGCGGTGACGTCGACGCGGCGGCGTCGTGACGTTACAACGACACCGCCGGAGCGCGAGCGCATCTTGTGACGTCATAAGCGCGAGCCACGTTCCACGCTGATGGCAATCGAGACGTCGATGACGTCGTTGCCGAGAAAGAAGTCTGACGATACGATGTTAGCGTTGTTTCGCCATCGGCTGGTGAGTCGTGCTGTAACGTTCCGGTTAACAGCATCGGCGTTCTGCCTCAATGATCCTCTTAGGAATAGAATGTCTAGCACGGTGGGTGTAGTTTGGGCCATAGCTGAGTGCATTGGTGAGCGGGCATTCGCCTGTGGCGATAACGCGATCGCCTGGTCCAAGAATTGGAATAATGTATTGGGATTGTTTGTGTTCGCCCAAAGGTGAGGCAGTATCGGCCACAGCCAATTGTTAACTGTAACAAATAACCTACTTAAGTATAAAGTAAAAAGAAATATCATTTTTATGAGCTCATTTAACTTAGATACTAATCATGTTGAACAAAGTATATTGGTCAATCTATCAAATTGCAAAAAGTGCAGTTCAGTAATGCAATCATTAATCGCATATTTTTCACTATGGTGACAAGATTGATTAGCAGCTAGTTAGTTTTAGATAAGGGTATTTTCATTTATCATTCTATTATTGAAATGAATGCCTTTGTTTCAGATTTTTAAAAAGATATTTTTTTATGATTGATTTAAGTCTATTAAAAACAAATTTAATACTAATCACCTGCTTCTTATCTATTGTCAATTATTGAAATAATGATGATAATGATATCAATATGTCATAATTATAAAACTTATCTTTTTTACAATCTCAATCACTGTTTTGTTTTATTATTTGGGTAAGCTTGGTGTCGCAAGTGGTTAGCGCTCTCGGCCTACAATTGTGGAAGATAAGCAACTTTTGCAATGGCCGGTCATTGGATAGGTGCCCAAAAACTTATAAACTCGAGCTCCGTCGCATTTCGGAACGCACTATAAGCAGTAAGTCCCCGCTGCATCTGCAGTCTTTAACAACGATTCAAAAGCTTTACAAGGTACAATCATGATGGCATGGCAAGAATCAATGCCAATGTAGACCAAGCAAAGAAATAATAATAGCTGATATCTCACAATCTTCCGTGCTTACAAGGAGGTTCAAAGTTTTTTCTTACCATATACATATTAATTTATTACTAACGATTAGTGATAGCCTAACATTAATGCTTAACATTTTAATGTCTATTTTGTAGAAAATCCATTGGTCTCAGGACATACACTTGTAGATAAGATAGTCTTTCTTTCGTAATCATTGGCGTGTGAACCACTCATAGAGATAAAAGATATTCACATCACCTATCCTTGACACACGGTAATATTTTGTGATCGGTTAATAAATTTGTTACAGGTTTTCTAATTAACTGTTTAAATTTTCTATGTAATTTTATTATACACGCCTAGATAGAACAATCCAAATAAAACACGTCAAGAAAACGGCTCATGTTACGCGCAATGTCTGCGTGATTCGATCTAATATCAGATTGTTTAAAAGCAGTCAATGTGAGCGTGTTTAGCGACGAGCTTATCTACCATATGTAGTAGATATTTTTTGGGGCGTTTCTATGCAGTTAGTACGGTCTAGACGTGTATATAGGGACCCCACATGATAAAACAATTTAGATTATTTATTTATAACATAATTATACTTACTTGCGACAATGGCATTGTCAACATAACTGAACACCAGCCTTTTGTTGGCGTCTAACAGAGTTTGGACGGTAGGGCCTCTGGTGCCCACTCCGGTGCCGAACTGCCTCGCGTTAGCTAAATGAGGTCCCAATTCCCGCTGAATAATGTTCAGGAGACCATCGTGAACGGCTCTGATTGGACGGCCATCTTGTTCGTAGAAGCCGACCGGAAAATGATGAGCATCTAAGAATATCACCTGAAACGAAAAATCAGCAAGTTATTTTTTTATACTAGTGGCCGGTATATGGAATTCGAACGAGAATTTCGGCTATTGAAGTTATTCTGTCAAAGAATTCAAATTCAAATTTGTTTGTGCGTGTAAACGTATAGCAGTGTGTAATGTTGTTCTAATTTATATTAGGGCCACTTGCACGAAAGTGCTTGGACTTATTGTGTGTGTTTAAGCCTTATTCGATTCTATTGAAGAATATTGGCACAAGTGACTTGCAAGTGGCCCTAAATGTATTTTAAGTGAATATCATAATCATTTAATTCTTCCCCATATAAATTGTAGCTATAAAAAATAAAAATGTGTTTAAAAATGGACACAAGTTTGTCATACCGAAGTTAATGGCCGCTTATTACAGTTTTGCTTTTGTTTCTTATTGGATATTTTGCAAAAATGTTTGAGCGCAAATCAAAAGATCAAGAAGTGTCATTAACACACTTCATCCAATGATATTGTTTATGTAATAATATCTTTGACTTTTTCCCATAAAAACTTTATGTTTTTATATTTCACGGCACAAAATGTTTATAAAAGTTTGTGACTGTAACGAGCTGTTTCAGAAAAGTTTCCCAATAAAAAGTTGTTATTTTTATGAGTTTTAAAAATGTTATAATAGTTAAATGCAATGTTATTTAATGAGGGGTATTAAAACACTCATGTTTTAATACCTAATTAACAGTTGCATGCAAGACTTTACTACACCCACGTTAAGAATCTTTTATAAAAGATTCTGAAACTATGTGTTGTAAGAACCTAAAATTCATCGGAGTTGTGATAGTGAGTGAAATTCATAATACCACGCATGGAGCACTGATAATTGTGGCTGTCTGATAAGTAAGCTCTTAGCGCGGAAGGGATTTAAAAAGCGAAGGATTGTTTGTACATTTTTTTCAAATTATGACATTGGATGTTTTAATTTGGCAAACTGTTAACATAACTGTTTTAGAATCTTTAATACAGGTTTTAAAGCATGGGTGTACATAAACACTAATACTTCTGTATGATAATCTTTACAAAAAATTTACCCAAATTATAATATACTTACTAGTACTAGAAAAAGTGTCATACAAAATCGCAATAAATTGAATGTGAGCCCCTCGTGGAATGGAATACTGTGTATATAGTTCATCTGAATGTAGACTATAGAAATGATCATGATAACGAGTGAATAAAAAAATAATAAAAGAAAATAAAGATAAGCTTCTCTATTGATGAAAATCTGATTGTAACATTGGCAAATATAAATGAAATAAGGCACATTTACAAACCTTAAGAACTATATTTATTAAATTAACTGGTTAATTATGAATATAGTTTTACTTACTTCTTGTGTAGCGTCTAAAAAGGCTCTAATCTCCCTTAAGAGGGGTAGTAATGGACGGACTCGAATTAAGTTGTGGTTTAACCAATACCTGAAATAAGGAAAAAGACAAACTCATGAAAAGACTTTCCGGTATATTATGTAACTTTGTTTGGCAAAAGTTTTAGTAAGATAATTTCGCCTTAATGATAATGAATATTAGCAATTATTGGTGTGTTTTTATTAGGTTTGCCAACCCTACTAAATAATATAGTATCCTACTATAATTATCTGGGGCTCAAATACTATATTTCTAAAAAAAAATGGTAGTCGAAACTACTTTATTTTGCTTAAAGACGATATTTGCCAGTAAAAGCTTTCTTAAAATATATATTATTAAGGCACAGAGCAGCAAAATAGGTTCATTTCAAAAATAAAGTCAATATTTTAAACAGATACTATATTTTATTAAATTTTTTGCACTCTACTACATTTTTAGAGGTAACAGCTTCGAAAAAAAGTTGGTAACCATGTTTTCGATCAACGTAATAGGTTGGGGAAAAGTCTTTTCACATTATATTATGTATGAACTTGTAATAAAATCTCTTTGGCTATACCATTTGTATCTAGCTGCTTATGGTATCAATAAAAGGTTTAAATTTTAAAGAAGATAATTACAAATTCAAATTAGTAAAATGTGTGATTTCCATTTGTTTTTCTTATTGTCAAAATGAGTGAAACTAATTAAGAAATTCGAAACATATTGAATTTTTACTACAAAAATGGTAAAAATTTTGATGTTTATGGATCTAGTGCAGTGTCTGTGAGAGTAGCACAAATTTGGTTTAAGCGTTTTCAATCCGGAAATTTTGATGTCAAAGATGCACGCCGCCCTGGTCACCCTGTTACGGATTAAATGGAAAACAGTTTTGAAAAAGTGCAGCAAGATCGGCATTACTATAAGTACTTCGTAGCCGAAGAACTGGGAATTGACCACGAAACACCTGGCTACACAAAAAAACTCGATAATTGGGTGCCTCACGAGCTCACTGAAAGAAACCTGATGAACCGTGTACTCATTTGTGATGCTTTATTACGACGTTATGAAACCGAATCATTATTGAACAAGCTGATGATTGGTGATAAAAAGTGAATCAAGTACGACAAGAACGTACGAAAAAGGTGGTCGTCATAGGCTGGTCAGGTTTCACACACTCTGGCGGATCCCGGGGTAACTCGCAAAAAGGCGATGCTGTGTCATGGAGCACCCTCATGTGCTGTGTGTATGGTGAGATGGGAGGGGCATTATTCATTATATGCTGTTACCGCCAGGCAGGACCATCGATTCTGAACTCTACTACGAACAACTGATGAGATTAAAGCAAAAAGTTGAGAGAAAGCGGCCGGAATTAATCAACAGAAAGTGTGTGGTTTTTCGTCATGATAACGCTAGACCTCACACATCTTCAGCCACTCAGCAAAAATTAAGTGAGTTTGACAGGGGGGGTGTTAATGCATCCGCCTTATAGTCCTGACCTTGTTAATTCAGATTTCCACATGTTTCGGTCTCTTCAGAATTATTTAGGCAGTGTCAGGTTAACATGACGAGAGGACTGCTATAACCCCTTATCGCGGTTTTTTGATCAGAAGCCCCAAAACTTCTATAGCAATGGGATCATATCCCTACCTACAAAATGGCAAGAAGTGATCGAACAAATGGAACCTACATACTTCAGGTAAATGTGTAATAACCTTATTAAAATTTTTTTGAATTTTTATATAAAGTGCGAAGAAACTTTTTCCCCGAACTAATATTTTATTAAGAATTGCATGACCTTTTATGTAAGAAGTCAGAAATGGTTTGTTATTTATAATTTTACTAAGTCATTGAATATAAAATTAAATATAAAATTAAATAATCGATTAACAAGATTCAGAATTTCACAAGAAAAACTGCACTATCAGGTCAAACATAACTCAAGAATACGTATGTCCTCATAAACTTTGTTTTATTTCTCAGCAATAGATTTTTAGTAACACTGAAACATTTTTTTTTATTTATTTCTTGCAAAAGTATTCAAAGTATTTTCAGTGCTCATAAGCAATTATATGAGTACAAAATTGAGAGAGACGAGATGAAATTACTTAGCGATCCATGGGTTCTCTACGAAGACGTCGGGTTGCAAATAATAAAAGTTTCACTTTAAAATAAGTAGGTAATGATTTCAACTTTGGCATGATTCTCTTAACCTAAACTTCAATTTAACAACAGACTGATGTTAAATTTAGTTTTAAGTTCAGAGAATCATGCCAAATCGCTACCATTATTAATATAAACTATTATGTAAATGACGTATAAATCATTAAAATCAGTCCTCGCGTTTGGTCTTTGGTGTGCCACAATATCCGTAAATATAGACTGATATTATACAATACCCTGTCTGCGTGTCGCGCTTCGCGCTCTTGCTTTGTGCAGACGGCCAAAAAATGGGTTTAGCACAAACAGAATTAACATCAGTGAATGTAAAGAAAATAATAGTATATTATATTGTCATTTTTGCAATTAAACAGCTTGATTTTTATATCTTAACTTAGGTAGGAAAATAATATTATTATGGTTAGTATAGCGTTAAACGTTAACCACTAAGTACCTGTAACCAATGTCCATTCGTAATGAGCTTGCATAACAAGAAATCGAGGAAGTCAGCCATGACTGATTATAAGAACCGATTATGTTTCTTACTAGACTCTATCATTATAGATTTACATGAATAATGAAAGTTTACGCTTATCAATTTCTCTATAAGATTGATAAATCAATCGCTTATTCCTACAAAGAAAGTAATGTAAGCACTTCGTTACCTATTTATTTTAAAAACCGAAAATATTTATATTTTCCTCGAAATATCACAATTGCCAATCAGAAGATTAGGTTAGGTTAACAACAGGCAGTAGGTATTTTTTGCCGTGAATTTAATTTTTTTGAAGACCATTCAATTGAGTACCCTTTTAAAACATCTAAAATACTTCCTACTTTGTTCAAAGATTTATCTGAGGAAAATTCATTATTTTTTAAGAATTTTGCGACCTACTTCTATGAATTCGAAGAAAATGAGATCCTTGTCTTTTCATAGTAGCGTAAAAGGACAAAAGAACGAATCTATAGAGATAAAAAAAATATCCTACTACGATTTAAATAAAACATATTTTTCATTTTCTAATAAAATTTTATTACGACTCTAGCATATTCTACAATTCCGCATTATGTCATGTAAGTATTTCTTTCACATAATATGTATAATTAAAATCTGATAAGTAAATGTGTCAACTGCTTTGAACAAAATTGTCAAGCTACATTTTTTGCTTGTATTTGAATATTGTTTTTGCCAATAAAACATTCAATAAGATTCAAAGAGTCATTATCATTAACCTGTTAATTATCGCACAAATGGTGCACATGCCTTCTCTATGGTGGATAGAATATGGAGAATAGGCCATGACCCGCCTTGCGGAACCAATGCAGACCATAAGCTTTCCGTCCCTTCCAATGCACGGGGAAGCTTGGGATAGTAAATCTTATAATCGGCTATTGCGGAAGATGTTCGACTTACAGGAAATCAGATCGAACGCACAAACTACTGCACCGCCGCACTTTTCAATGCTGAACTATCTATATTTCTGATTTATAATTCCTTACCTCTGATCTTCGGTGGGATAGAAGTCGTAATAAGCGATTCTGAAGTCCAAATATCTAATGCCGTGGACCAGCTGCGCCCACACAGAACGATCTTGGCACAGGACAAAGCTGTCCCGTTGCAGGTTGCTGACTTCGGTGTTAAAACGCCACGCGCCAGCGTTGTGGGTCCCGGCTAGAGCGAGCTCGCCGATTCGAAGCCGATTGATTCTTGCACTGAGGAGAAAATTTTATCTTGGATCAAATCAAAGGAAATCGAACAGTGGACATTATAGCACTTACGGCGACAAGTCAATTAACTTTAAGTTTGAGGAAAGACTTATCCGCTGTCTCACTCTCCTATTCATTATTTATAAAGCACAAAAAGGATAGATAAAAGCTGTTAGTTTAGTCTTATTTAGGTTTCGGCAGTTATTTCGAACCCATAGTTTAGTGACAATAGCAGATAATAGCAATAGTTTCTAAAAATATGTCAGTAGGAACTGCTTCGTGATGTTTTTATCAAAACATCTATACTTAATATTATAAAGCTGCAGAGTTTGTTTGTTTGAACGCGCTAATCTCTGGATCTACTGTTCCGATTTGAATGATTCTTTCTGTTTAAATCCCAAAAAATCTTTGAAAGGTGCAAGTATGATAAAAATAAACCACCGTTCAAATTCAAAGGAATAAATGTATTCGAAAAGAAACCTTATTTTCTAAGGCTTATATAATCGAGTAAGAATCTTAACATCGCCATTCAGACATCACACTATGCAAAATGATGGCGCCATCTAGTGACCGTTGACAACAACACTTTCACCTACTAACATGCATTTGGGGTTTATTGGCGTAAACATACCGCCCCCCATGGACCGAGTGTCCATCAAAAATATTTACTATGCCACAAATCATATTACGCAAAGAACTAAAATATTAAAACTATGCCACAAATCATATGCAAACTTAAACACAACTAAAATAAAACTTACGCGCGTACAATATTCGGCTATTTTCAATCTACAAGCTTTCTACACTACACTACTTATTCTATTATATTTTATTAAAAGCATAAGCATTAGATAAGCCAGCATATTACATTCATACCTACCTTATTATAATAAATTTCACTCTAGTATAGGCAATACTCTTACTTTCGACATAGGCCTTTTAATTATACTAGATCCCTTGCATTTAATACACAATGCTTTTCAACTATCACTCCATACAACCATCGGGCTGGGGGTAAGTCATCCTCCATAATCAACACTATGTCTCCCACCTTTGGTTCCGATAAAACATTACGCCATTTGTAACGATGAAAAAATTGGGTCAAATACTCCCTCGACCATCGTCGCCAAAACTCTTGGACCATTTTTTGAGTTAACTTCCACCTACGTAAACTACTGATATTGGAGTTTTCATAATTATGGTCAGGTACCAATACTAAGGGTTCTCCAACCAAAAAGTGACCGGGAGTCAATGGATATGGATCTAATGGATCAATATCAGACATTTGTGCTATTGGTCTCGAATTGAGACACGCCTCAATTTGTGCCAAAACAGTCGTAATTTCTTCAAAAGTTAGTTTAGATTCCCCTATGACTCGTTTGATATGGAACTTTGTTGATTTGATCCCTGCCTCCCATAGTCCTCCAAAATTGGGTGAACGAGGTGGAATAAAGTTCCAATTAGTGCCATTATTTGAAAGCCAGTTAGCAATTTCGACTGCTACACCGGATCTTTCGCTTTGAAAAAGAATCTTGAGTTCGCGTGCGGCTCCAACGAAATTGGTACCGTTATCGCTCCACAATTCAGCACAATGACCACGGCGAGCACTGAAACGTTTGAAAGCAGCGATAAAACTTTCCGACGACATATCACTGACCATTTCTAAATGAACGGCTCTGGTAGCCATGCATATGAAAAGGCAAATGTACCCCTTTGAAGCATGAATACCCCTGCCCTTTGCGGATCTAACAGCAATTGGACCTGCGTAATCGACTCCACTGCGAAAGAATGGTCTGGCTGGAGTGGCCCTTGCTTCTGGAAGTTGACCCATTAACTGGTGATTTGGACGTGCAGAATAACGAATACAACGTACACATTGACGTATATGACCCTTAACTTGTCGCTTCATGTCGATTATCCAGTACCGCGATCTCAAATGATTCATTGTCAGCTGAACCCCTCCATGCATAGTTCTTTCATGTGCGTCAGCTATTATCAAATCCGCTATATGAGATTTGCGAGGTATTAATATGGGATGTTTGAAATCTTCGCATAATGTTCGAACCCTGTCCAGCCTCCCACCGATCCTTAATATACCTACTTGATCAAGAAATAAATTCAAGCTGGAAGTGCTACAATTCTTAGGTACAGGCTTATTTTTAGTGATACTCTGTATCTCTTCCTGAAAAAACTGACCCTGATAATACCTTATACATATATTAAGTGTTTCGCGTAATTCAGTCGTGGTTAGCCATCGTGGGAAAACAGGTTTTGGATCAAAAGAATGGGTGAGTTTGAAAAATCTTCGACAAAATGCCATTGTTCTTACTAACCTACGTAATTTAGAAAATCTAGCCCATATATCATTCTGAATTTCAGATGTTACACAACAAACGGTCATTGATCTCTCTTCAAGGTTGGTATCTTGATTATCTAGTGGACTGTAATTTATAGAAGATTCTTTTAACCAACGTGGACCCTCCTTCCACAACCGTTCGTCAAAGTCATCCAAAGTAGTGATACCCCTTGACGCACAGTCAGCGGGGTTTTCCTCAGATCTAACATGAGACCATTGACTTCTATCGAAGTTTGTTAGTATTTCTGAAACCCTATTCCCAATGAACGTCTTCCATCTACTAGGATGGCTACTCAACCACGCCAAAACAATGGAAGAATCAGTCCAGGCGTGAATATGGCATTTGGGTACAGAAAGGACCTTGGACACTTCCATCAATAACTTTGCTAAAAGGACAGGCCCACAAAGTTCCAAACGTGGAATTGTCACCTGTTTTATTGGTGCTACCTTTGTCTTTGAGGTTATGAGATTTACATGGATACTGCCTTCGTGATCAATCACCCTTAAAAATACTACAGCCGCATATGCTACAACGGATGCATCACAGAATCCATGTAATTCTATGCATGACGCATCGTGTCGCGCTTGAATCCAGCGTGGAATGCGAAAAAAAGAAATTAACGAGAGATTACTTCGGTACTCTAGCCACTCTTTCAACAAATTTGGTGGTAATTCTTGGTCCCAATCGATTCCTGATATCCATAGTTTCTGTATAAGAACCTTGGATGTTATGATCATTGGAGCGATCCAACCTAAAGGATCGAACAAGCGTGATATATCCGAAACCACCTTTCTTTTGGTTACCGGAAAACTTATATCAGGCAACTTGACTGAATATTCAAAAAAATCTGTACCGTTATTCCAAATCAAACCAAGAACCTTTTGTGTCTTATTATCATTACTAGTTTTTATTTCTAATTTTCTTTCACTTCCTCCACTATTCTTTCCTATCTTTTTCAACAATTCTTCGCTGTTACTCGACCATTTTTGGAGCTCAAAACCGCCCTTTTTTAGCAATTCATTCATCTCGCCATACACTTGAATGCCTTCAGAGATTGTTTGACAACCACTCATAAAATCATCAATATAAAAATGATTGACAACTCTCTGAGCTGCTAAAGGATATGCTGTACCTTCATCTTCGGCGAGCTGTTGTAGAGCCTTAACTGCTAAATAGGGTGCTGAAGCGGTGCCGAAAGTAACCCGATCAATCTTTAGAATCTGCAATTCCGACTCATTTCGCCAGAGTATTCGTTGGAAATTAGCATCAAGATCGCATACTTTAACTTGGCGGTACATTTTAATAATATCTGCTGTGAGACAAATGGGATGAATACGCCACTGCATAATTATATGACGAAGATCTGCCTGTAATGTTGGCCCTACCATCAACTCACTATTTAGTGAAATTCCGTTGCTTCCGGGACATGACGCATCAAACACTATCCTCAATTTTGAAGTAGATTTGTCCTCTCTAATAACGGCGTGATGAGGCAAATATACTGAGTCAACGTCAAGTTCTTGTAAAGGCACTTGCTGCATATGGTCAAGTTCTAGATACTCAGAAATGACTTCCGAATACCTCTTCTTAAATGTTGGATCTCTTACAAATCTTCTCTCCAGCATTCCTAGTCTTCTTTCCGCGATATTCTTAAAATTTCCGTATTTACACTGCGGATTATCAGTATGAAATGGAAGTCTAACGATATATCGTCCAGTTTCGTCTCTACGTGTAGTTTTTTTGAAATATTCTTCACATAAAGTTTCCTCTTCTGTGAAAATCTTTTCCTTTTCAGTGGGGGGTGCCTCTAGTTCCCAAAACTTGCGCAAAATATCGTTTTCGTTAATTTGAGCGTGCATACTAACGATGTTATGACACGTTGTGGAATCAGCTAAAGATTCTGGAAGAATCTGACCAGATAAAATCCATCCGAGTTTGGTATTTTGGGCTAACATAGGGTAACCCGGAGGACCTTTGAGTACACCATCATCCAAAATCTGGCCGTATACTTCTGCTCCCAGCAACATGTCAATTCTGCTCGGGATGTAAAACTGGGGGTCAGCTAATTTTATTTCAGATAAGACTGGCCACGGTTTATAAGTGACCCTTCTTGTAGGAATCACGGTGGTTAATTTACTTAAGACATGAGCCTTGACCTTGATCACAGTATTGGGGTTATGTAGTGACTGAATGTTAACGTAAACTTCAGATTTCGATGCGACAGACACATCACTATCTGAGCCACTACCAATCCCTGAAATGACAACTTTACTAGGAACTTTCTTGAGCCCTAGTGCTTGTACCGTTCCTTCTGTAATAAAAGACGCCTGCGAACCTTGGTCCAACAAACACCTTAACGTTTCTTCCTTTCCTGATTTTGTAGTCACCCTTACCAATGTGGTGGCTAACAAAACTTGATTCGATGATTTAGAAAAATGAGAAACTACTTTCGGACAGTCTAGTGATTCCTGTGCTTGTTGAGGCTCGGTGGTTGCTATCGAAACTAAAACATTTTTATCATCCTGCCCTACTTTATTTCTTGTAGAAGTATCATTAGGATTATTTTTGGAATGAAGTAGGGAATGGTGCTTCTTTTTACATATTCGACATCTTGAGAGTTGGCGACAAGAGTATACTGAGTGATTTGAC